CCTGGGAGGCAGCAGATGACAGCCCAAGTACTTAGCTCCCTGCCAGTGACACACAAGACCCAGATGGAGTTCCTGGCTCCTGGCTTCAGCCTGGCTTGGCTCCAGCCATTTGTTGCGGGCATTAGGGGAATGAACCAACAGACGGAAGATCTCTTTCTTTGCTGTGTGTGTGTGTCTGTCACTCTGCCTTTCAAATAAATAATCTTTTTATTATATATCTATATTATTATAAAAGTAATAAACAGATCACGGTGGAGAATGGTGGGCTGCTTGATCAATCACCTATTAGCTCTGACAGAGCTGCCATGGCGGTGTGGGACTGTTACCGGACAACCGACACAGCCTCTGGCACCTGGTTTGTGACTGCTGTTCTAACCTTTCACACACTATCTACAGAAGGGTCTGTTTGGATGTGGGCAGCAAAGCGGTACCCGTTCTCTCTCCCATCCCAGGGCTGTGTCCTCTGTCTGATCCGTCACAGAAACCCGGCTGTCAGGATATTCAGGGACTGTCACACTGGTCCACTAGAGCAGGAGCAAGTCTCTACAACTAAACCCAGGAAAGCCATGCAGGGGGCGTCATATGGACAGCTGCCTCACCTTAGACAGCTTCTGATTACCCACTGCTATGGCCGAAGTGAACAGGGAAAACCCAGTTCATGGATTCAAAGCCACCCCTCCCAACTCTGACTAATCAGAGAAGATCCAGCCTCCGGAGCCAGCCTCCTCTGAGCTGCGGCACCACTGAGAAGTCAGGTGACCAAGAAAGGTCAAAGGAGGAGGAGGAGGAGGGGGAGGGAAAGAGAAGGTGGAAAACCAGGAGGAAAGGGGGAAGTGGCCTTCAGAATTTATTCCAACAGGCAAATACCCCAAAATGTGTCCCGTGAGCAAACCCCACCCCTTCTAAGTGAGCTGGTGCTGGGCTGGAATACTGAAGAGACCGTATTTCACTTCACACGTGCAGGGCTGGGGTGCGTCAGGCTCACAAGCCACGAGTTCACGGCCCACTCACAAACGGGAATCCCAAACTAAGTGAGGCCCCCACCCTCGCGGGCCCCCCTGCACATTGATCCCAACACCTGTGACCCTGGACACTCAGCAGTCCAAACAGAACACCTCGGCCACGAACACAGCAGGGACTTAACACCAGTGCCATTTTCTAAAGTTATTTATTCAGTTTGGATTACTTCAGTAGTGAATACACATTCAAAAAAAAAAACAACACAATATTGACATCATCAGGTAATCTCAATATTCAAGTGTCCCAACCCTGAAGATAATAATATCTGCATTGCGTGTGCACATTCCTGGACTGAAGTAACAGGAGCTCGGTGGGCTCGCAGGTACCAGGTGGCCTGACCCTGTAGAGATGCTCTGTCCTCAGAACCCTCCCAGGGACCCCGGCACACAGCTTCTCAAGGCATCTCTACCCCCAGCACCCGCCACACTCCGTCCTCTCACCCCAGAGACCCAAATGCCTGGGGACTTCCGGACCTGAGCCATGCAGCTCCAGGTGCGTGACCTAGCCCTCTCCACCTGCTACCCTCCTAAGGTTAAAGGCGGAGAAGCCGAGGGCGTGGGCGCTGTGCGTGGGGTAAGCTGCCATTTGGGACGTCGGAGTGCCTGGGATGGAGTCCTGCCTCTGCCTCGGATCCAGCTTCTTGCCAATGCACGTGGCGGTGATGGCTCAAGTGCTCCCATCTATGTGAGAGATCCGAGTTGGATTCTGGGCTCCTGGTCAGCCTGGCCAGCCTTGGCTGTGCAGGCATTTGGGGAGTGAACTAGAAGACAAAAGGACATTCTCTTTCTCTAAGAAATAAAAAAACAAACAAACAAAAACAAAAACAAAAACAAAAAAAAACCTGAGACGAGAGGCGAGAGGAAGGCTGGAAGGGTGCATGTGCACCATGGGCTTCTCAGAACACAGGGAGGACCCACTTCAGGTGACTGCATAACCAACTGTGACTGTGCCAAGTGAGGAGCCCATGAACCCCACACTGCCCAGACAGCCCCTCTACAGGAGCCAGGACGGAGGAGAAAACCCACAGGCAAGGGTGATCATCAGTGCAGACGCAGCGGGGCCCGTGGGTGACCTGTTCGGGCTCACGCGTCCCATGTGTACTAATTCTGTTTACTCACAGCGCTGCAAATGCTGGGATAAACAGGAAGACAGGGAGGCGAGAGGCAGAACAGGAGAGAAAGGAGTGCAGCTCTGGCCCAGTTCCCAAGCCGCACAGACTCAGGCATTCACAGAAGTAATTCTGCCTCCTCTCGGAGAAAAGCTAAGTGCGTGGTTTAAAAAGACTTTTCAGAGATAAAATGGCTCTCAAAAGTTCCAGCAGACCTAGTTCTCCACCCAGAAAGAATGGTTTCAAGTGAATCTGAAATACTATCTTCACTCTACTCACCCCAAGGGTAGAAGTGCAGCTTAAACTGCATTCAGGCCAACACAAGCAACACACACACACCCCACACCACACACACAACACACAGACACACACACAACACACACACACACACACACAACACACACAGACCCAAAAGACACAAACAAAACGCTATTGTGAATCTATATTATATGCAGTAAGCTAAAGTAAATAATCAGAGCAGGTTATCAGGAACCAAAAATCTCAATGTCAGACAAACATAAAATCAAAGAGAGAAAAACACCTTGTAATCAGAGGGCATATGGGAAAACCATGCCTTCCACTCAGTTTTGCTTAAACCTGAAACTTCTCTGAAGCAGTCAGTTCTACAAAACTGATGTCCTTGACTTGCACTGGAAATCCTAGTACATACTTACACACCTATTTTCTCCCCTTACTGACAAAGCATTCTACTTCCTAGCACGACACCAGCCAGCACAGCCTCACAGGAGTGCGCTAACCCAGCAGTAATCCAACAACCTGAGTGCTCAACCGGCATTTAAACTGTGCTCTTCAAAGCAAGTGCAGCAAAAGGAATCGTAAAAGAAGAGCCAATTAAAACCAGACTCACGAGGGTGACCGCTATAAAGAAGAAAGAGAATGACAAGCACTGGCATGGATGTGGGGAGACCGGAACACTGCTGCACGGCTGGGGCACCGTGCAGTGGCACAGCTGCTGCGGGAAGCAGCATGGAGGGGCTCCGCCCGATGCCCCACTCTCCTTTCTGGGTGTGCACCCAAAGGAACTGAAAGCAGGGTCTGAGTACAGAGCCACACAGGCAGGTCCCTAACAGTAAAATTCACAGCACCAAGGGACGGAAGCAGCCAGAGCCCACTGATGACCAACAGAAGGTGGCGGGTGCCTGACAGCACAATCAAGTTACCACTGTACTCCAGCCTTCAAGAGGAAAGAAATGTAGTCACGCCCCACTGCGTGGATGAACTTTAAGGACCTGAGGGTGGGTGAAAGAAGCCAGCCACAAGTGTGGTCTGACCCCATCATACGGGGCATCTAAAGTGGTCAAACTCAGAAAGGACATGGTGCTTACCAGGGGCTGAGAGGGAAGCTGTGTAATGGGTACAGTTTTAGATTTGCAAGATGAAAATCTACTTCACAGCAATGTGGATATTCTTCACACTGCTGGAATGTACACTTAAAAACAGCAAACATGGTAAATACAGTGTTATGGGGGCCGGCGCTGTGGTGTAGTGGGTAAAGCTGCCGCGTGCAGCGCTGGCATCCCATATGGGTGCCAGTTCAAGTCCTGGCTGCTGCATTCTGATCCAGCTCTCTGCTATGGCCTGGGAAAGCAGTGGAAGATGGCCCAACTCCTTGGGACCCTGCACCCACGTGGGAGACCCAGAAGAAGCTCCTGGTTCCTGGCTTCAGATCGGCGAAGCTCTAGCCTTTGCAGCCAACTGGGGAATGAACCAAGACCTCTCTCTCTCCCTCTCTGCCTCTCCTTCTCTGATTTTCAAATAAATAAATCTTAAAAAATACAATGTTACGTGTGGATTGCTTTTAACCACAACAAAAAAGACACAATTGAGATAATCAGGAAAATTAGTCCCAACCACACAGTAAACTGCATTTGAATCCAGTAGTTAACTGCGACAGTAACAGTACCTAACACTCAGATGGTAGAAAGACACTTTTATTGGGAGATACGGCTTCCAGCTCCAAATCTCCTAACTAGATACTAGATGATAATGCAAGAGTCACTGTTCACTTCATTGGATATGACAATGTCATCATGGTTATGGTCTTTAAGAATTCATACTGAAATATTTTGGGGGTGCAATTATGCTAAGATTTGCTTTAATCTACTCCAGCCACACACACACACACACACACAAAGTGGAGGCAGGGACAATGAGAAAGAACGGCAGAATAATCAGTTGCTGAGGCTGTGCGATGAGCACAGGACAGGAACACTATCCTTTCCATGTGGTTAATATTTTCAAAGGTCCTTAATAGAGAGTGTAAGACAAACCAAACAAAATGGAAGAAAGAGGATGGATGCAAGGATGCAAGGATGGATGGATGGATGAATGGATGGACAGTCAAACTAGAGGACAACAGGGTGAACATCTTGAGTTTTGGTAACAATAGTATCAAACCACCCAAGTTCTTGATTTTTAAAAAGGGTTACATTGTAACCTGTGGTATGCATAAATGACTACACAGAACAGAAATGAAATTGAAAGAATGGTGGTAGCCGGCGCCGCGGCTCACTAGGCTAATCCTCCGCCTAGCGGCGCCGGCACACCGGGTTCTAGTCCCGGTCGGAGTGCCGGATTCTGTCCCGGTTGCCCCTCTTCCAGGCCAGCCCTCTGCTGTGGCCAGGGAGTGCAGTGGAGGATGGCCCAGGTGCTTGGGCCCTGTACCCCATGGGAGACCAGGAAAAGCACCTGGCTCCTGGCTCCTGCCATCGGATCAGCGCGGTGCGCCGGCCGCAGCGCGCCGGCCGCGGCGGCCATTGGAGGGTGAACCAATGGCAAAAGGAAGACCTTTCTCTCTGTCTCTCTCTCTCTCACTGTCCACTCTGCCTATCAAAAAAAAAAAAAAAAAAATTAAAAAAAAAAAAGAAAGAATGGTGGAGCTTCAAGTGCTTCTCATTGCCCCCCACAGCCATAAACAGACAAAACGAAAAAGGAAAATGGACTAAGAACACCGAACAGAAAAACAAAGGACCTCATGTCTGGAGGGTAGTAGAGAAATGTCTGCTGGGAGATGTCCTGGCAAGGCAGGAAACAAATCAGGTGCGAGCAGGTGTCAGCGCTGCATCTGCGGTCCAACAGGATGGACTCATTTCCCTTCTGCTCATAGAAAGCGAGCAGGCAAGCAAGGGCTTCAGGGTGGGCGAAGGGTACACAAGACCCCAAAATGATGGCCTTGAGAGAGAGAGAGGCAAAGATGAAGTCATTACAGAGAGTGGGAAGTGAAATGGCATCAAGCAGTTTCATCTGACGAAATCCCAAACAAAAGAGAACTGAAAAGGCAGGAACAATGACCCAAAAACAGGACTGGTCATGAGCAAGAAAGTTAGAGCGCCTGGCTGAGCCAGGAAGCAGCGCTGAGCGTGGAGCAGTGCCCTGGAGAAAGGAGTCAGAGAGCCAGGTGCCAGGCTGCCCACTGAGTAAGGCCCCTCTGTCCCTCCTGGAATCACTCCACCTACAGAATGTGCCAAGAAAAAGGCTCTCCAGGCTGGCGCCCAGCTCACTAGGCTAATCCTCCACTTGCAGCTCTGGCACCCGCGTTCTAGTCCTGGTCAGGGCACCGGATTCTGTCCCGGTTGCCCCTCTTCCAGGCCAGCTCTCTGCTGTGGCCAGGGAGTGCAGTGGAGGATGGCCCAAGTGCTTGGGCCCTGCACCCCATGGGAGACCAGGAGAAGCACCTGGCTCCTGCCTTCGGATCAGTGCGGTGCGCCGGCCACGGCGGCCATTGGAGGGTGAACCAATGGCAAAGGAAGACCTTTCTGTCTCTCTCTCTCCAGAGGCCCTTCCCTGGCTCTGTAATTCTACAGGGGTGGGTGCGGTATTAGGAAGCCGCCCAAACCTGAACTCAGACATCCCCTAGCCTTCACACTGCAGGCGCCACTGTGAATGCCCTGTTATTGGGTGGCCTCCAGGATCAGGACAAGGCAAACATGAAGACACCCTCTCCTCCAGGCCTGTGACATGGACACAGGCAGAGCAAGGCACCTCCCAGCAGCTGCTGTTGACAACGCTCCGACCCAGCAGTGGGAGGCAGGCTGCCCACTCACGTTGCCCGGATGCACGGCGTCCCGGGAAAGTTCCTTCACAAGCCCCAGCACGATGTGAGAGGCTCGCACGGCACTGAGCGCTTACTGTGTGCACGGCGCCATGGGAGACTCACGCACCATGTCTTAGGAGGTGCAACCCTTACTCCCCACTTAGGGGCCATGGAAACCAGTGCTCAGGGAGGTCATGTCACTCGCTCAGTGTCGCCCAGCTCCGAGCGCGAGGCAGGCTGAGACCTGTTGTTCCCTGTTGGACAAAGCCCCTTGGCCACATCCCTGCACCTCCTAGCAAGAATCCACCGGCAAGCCTGAGCCCTAGGTCTTCTTGGTCAGGCCTTTTCTAATAGAAAGGCTTTTTGTTGTCCCAAGGTCAAGGGCTGGGACAAGGTTCAGCTCATTCCAGACAAGGGTCTTAGGGGCCAGCAGGTGGCCAGGGCCCAAGGGCAGCTCTAATGGTGCCAGGCAAGAAGAACAACCCTGCATTCCACACCTGGCCCTGGGTGGGAAGCCTGCAAGGTCCTACCCTGGGCACAGAGCCTGCCACTCCCCATGCAAGCCTCAACCTCCCACGGCTACAGTCAACCTCAGCTCCCCACAAAAACCCTGTCCTGGGGCTGGTGTGGCATAATGGGCTGAGCTGCCTGCAATGCTGGCATCCCCCGTACGGGTGCCGGTTTATGTCCTGGCTGCTCCACTCCCAATCTAGCTCCCTGATAATGGCTTGGGAAAGCAGTGGAAGATGGCCCAGGTGCTTGGTCTCCTGCCACTCACGTGAGCGGCCGGGAAGAAGCTCCTGGCTTTGGACCAACACAATCCTGGCTGTTGCGGCCATCTGAGCGAACTAGTGGATAGAAGCTCTCTCTCTCCCTCCAATTGACTTTCAAGTAAAAAATGAATCAAAAACCCAGACCCCAACCTAGGGTGGGGCAGGAGCAGCAGGGGTCTCCAGGTTCCTGATCCTTCTTCAAACACAGCAGCTGCCCTACACACTACCAGCCCCTCTCTCCAGGCCCGCCTCTGCAACCCCTGCGGGTAAGCTACAATCAGCCTCAAGCAAGTCACTCAATCGCCTGTGAGGCCTGGGCTCATCTGTAACCCATAAAGTGCCTTAATCACCAGACTTCGGGAAGACTCCTTAGTGAGAAGCAGGTGGCCTGGCTTCTGGCCCCAAACCTCCTGCACATCTCATCACACCACCAGTGCCCTTTCTCCAACAGCCGAGGGGCTTCTCAGCTTCTCTGCTCTCTTATCCCCACCCAGCAACACTGCCCCTTCCCTTGTAGACGGAAGCTTCTAGAATCCACCTGCACCCTAAAGAAAAGCACTAAGAGGAAGAAGCTCCACCTCCCGACCCCGCCTTGGAGGTGTCCCTTGCCAGTGCCCTGTAGGCCGGCTCCCTCCACACCACCTGGGTGTTACATGTGTTCCTGCAGGTGAGGGGGCTTTGGAAGGTTCACGAACACTGCACCTTCAATTCCATGTTTCCACCCGCTTTCTGCAGCCCTCCCACTGGCGCCACCCATGCAGACCAAGAAGCCAACAGCCACTTAAAGAGTTAAACCAGACTGACTTGCCAGGCAGCCCCACCCACATCACTGTCCACGGGTGCATAAGCAGGGCTGGCTGGGAGGGGCTGGAGTGGGTCAAACAGGCAAACCAGTGGGAGGAAGGGCAGCGGGTGAGGGCAAGGGCCAGGACCAGGGCAGGGCCAGGGCCGGCTCAAGGAGCCCGCTGCAGGATGAACTCTGTGATCTCTGCCCGGCTCCCCAGCCTCATAGGTATCCCGTAGTGGCCCGTGCCTGGGCTGACATACACAAAGGTAGCTGGGGCCACCTGATAAAGACCAGCAAAGAAGGGGTTGAGGAGATAGGCCACCACGTTCAAGGGGAAGATCTGCCCAGCATGGGTGTGACCCGACAGAATCAGGTTAATATCTGGCCGCTCCTGGAGGGCTCTCTTGGCTGCCAGCGGCTGGTGCGCCAGCAAAATGGTGGTGTGGTCTGGGCTGCAGCCCCCCAGGGCCTTGTCCAGGTCCATGCCGTGGCCCGCATAGTGCAGGATGTCTGCTTCGATATCGTCCACGCCGGCCAGGCAGATCCAGTCCCCGCCCTCCTCTCCCTCCCCGGCAGCCGAGATCCTCACGTACTCGTTGTGGAGGGGCCGCACGTGCAGGGATTCCAGCAGAGCAAACCAGTTGTTGACATCCAGAGTGTAGTAATCGTGATTGCCCGTGACGAAATAAGTGCCGAGGCGAGAGCGCAGCTGGCCCAGGGGAGCCACGGCCGGCCGCAGCACCGCGGCCTCCGAGTCGGACAGGTCGCCCACGATCACCGTGAGGTCGGGTTGCAGCACGTTCACCATCCTCACAAACATCTCCATCTTGGTCCTGCCCACCGTGGGGCCCAGGTGGATGTCCGAGAGAAGCACAACCCTGAGGTGGTTCATGGAGGGCGGCAGCTGCCGGATGGGCAACTCCACAGTTTTCACGGCCGGCGGCTGGGCGGCGTTCAGCAGGCCGGCCACACTGAGCACAGCGGTCACGATCACGGCCAGGATGGGCCTGAGGGCCAGCTTCCTTGTCTTGTCCAGGCTGCCGGCCACCCGGCCGCGGCGCCAGGCCAGGAGCTGGTAGGCCTGCTCCATGGCGCTGAGGACGCAGAGGAAGCACAGCATGAAGACGTAAGCGCCCAGGCAGGTGTAGGCGGCCAAGGAGAAAAAGTGGGGCTCCTCGGCCACTAAGAATAACATGGTGAAGAAACTCGAATGAGCCAGTGCCAGAAACGCCAATACCGTCAGCTTCCAAAGCTGGAAACAAGCGGACCCTGCGCCCGGGGAGGGGCAGAGACTGCTCACTATGCTACGCCAGATGTACAGGGAACCAATGAGCATGAGGGAGTTGACAAAGAGGACGAGCTGCAGGCGGAAGAGCCACCGCCAGGCCCTGAGCTCAAGGCTGTCTGCCAGATAGGAACGGGAGACGATCATGGATATGAAGACAGTGGCCGCGGCCAGGGCCACCTTGGCACCCAGCGACAGCTGCCTGAAGATCACCATTTTCTTTGCTCCCAGAGGGTCCCCCGCCACTTCTGTGCAGGTGGCCTTAGAATGGACAGTGGCCAAGGAGAGGCTTCCAGGTCAACTCCGCCTGCAACCAGGAACCCGGCGTCAGCTTTGTGGGATGTTAGAGAGTCCTTGTCCCCCTACAAACCCCGAAGGCCACCTACCTACACCTGCCCCACCCGCCCCCAGCCACTCAAGTACCAGTCAGTAGCTATGCAGTGTTGGTAAAATACAAATCTACAGGGTTGTGACATGATGGGCAGCTTTCAGTTTTTTCTTTAATTTTTTCTGTAAAGTTTCTCCATGAGAATCATGAACTTCTTTTATGAGAAAAAATAATGTAAATTAGCGGTTCTCAAAGCAGGTGTAGGGAGGCCCATGCGGAGGGCCATTTACGTAAGCCTGTCTTCGTGGTCATCCTGTGCCGTTACTGCCTCTTCATCCTCACTCTCTCGTGAATGTACAGTGGAATTTTCCAAAGGCCACATGACATGTGATACAACAGCCTGGACGCGAAAGTCCATCTGAAAATCCATCCCTCTCCCACTGAGACAGACGCGAAAGAGGTTTGCAAAAATAGAAAACAACGTGCAACACTTCACCCTGAAATTCTGGCATAAATATTGGTATTTTAAATAAAAACATATTACTCACATGTACATGTATTAGTCCTTAAATAAACCAATCATTAAAGTTTGTTCTTAATTTCTAGTAACAGAGAACCGCTGTGCTAAATAAATGGAAAGCAAAGGCACAGGGAGAAGCTGGCATCCGTCTTCAGCACCAGGCCTGGGAGGACACCGAGACACCTGGCTCCGGAATTCCTGGGGTGAGGCCAGCCTCCCTGCGTGGGCCTCAGGTGTGGCAGCCACAGGGCGGCCCCTCTCCACAGGCACCAGGGTGACCACCACCCGGAGGGCGGCCCTGCCCACCTGCTCCTTAGCCTCCAAGCCCCACCCCCATCCCATCCCATCCCTAGAGACTGGCCCAGCGCTCCCTCGCCCTGCCGCTGTTCCCCTGAACTATCCCCAATCCCACCAGGTGGCACTGACTCCAGGCTCCTCCAGGGCTCCCGGACAAGAAGCAGCGAATACTCCAATTTCAGTGAAATCGCTCTTAGCAGCCGTGCTCCAAATACTCGACCACTTCCAACTCTGGTTCTGGGTAAGCCTTCGACTTTTCCTCTGCCCTAGGCGCGTTCCGTTGGATCAGACGGTGTCAGCGGGCTCCCCTAAACTCCGGGGCACCGGGGCGCAGCGGCCCGGCTCCACGGTCCCCCTAACCCTTCCCAAGCGCGCCTCGGACCTGCGCTTCGCTGCGCCGCCAGCCCCAGCTTCCGCCAACGCCGGCGCCCACCTGCGGCCCGCCTCTCCCACCTCCACCTGACCCGCCCTCCCCGAAGGAAAAGGATCCCGCGGACGCGAGGGGAAGCCGGGGAGCTGCGCGCTCCCGCGCGCGATGCGGGACTTCGCCCCAAGGAAACAACGCAACGTTCCCGCTGCGGGGCCGCCCCGATCTCGTTTTTTTTTTCTCCTTCCGGGACTCTGTGCAAAGAGCGAAGCGGGCAGGGCAGGGCACCCCCCCACCCCCGGGGGAAGCCGCGCGACTGGAAATCCACCCGCTCCAGGGGCTTCAGGCGCGCCTCGCTCCTCCCCTCGCAGACGGCCCCAGGGGCGGCGGAAGCCCACCGCGCCCCCGACCCAGCGCGCGGGAAAGACGCGCGCCGCCCCGAGCAGCATGGCCTGCGCTCCGCAGCCCGCCCGCTGCCCTCGGGGGTCTCGGGCCGCCCGCCCGCAGTTCTCCGGCGGCCCCGGCCCCGGCCCCGGCCCCAGCCCAGCCCCACGGGGGCCTGTTTGTCCCCCAGCCCCCAGCAGGCCGGCCCCCGCGCACTTACCCCCAAGCTGCGCGGAGAGCCCGGCAGCAGCGGCGCCAGCAGCAGGCAGAGGATGCGAGCCGCGACCCCTGGCATGACCTCCCTCCGGCCTCCCTGCTCGGCAGTCGGCGCTCGGGCCAGCGGCGCCGCGTCCCCCGGCCTGAGGACCCGCCCGCTCGCCGGCGCTGGCTCCGCCCCGGCCACGCCACGCCCCGGCCACCGGGGGCCGCGTGACTCGGCCCTGGGGTTACCGGGCGCCCGCGGGCGAGCTCCGTCCGAGGGGCGCCCAGAGGCCTCGCTCGCCGTCGGGGCTAGACACGGACGAAGGGCTCCTTGCTCTCAGAGCCGCGGGGCTCGTGGGCAGCAGCTAACTCAAGGGCACGGGGTGGGGCCTCGGCTGTCCAAGGTAGGGCTGGGAGCGCGGTGCCCGACCCGGCCAGGCGGCTTCGCCTGCAAGTGCATGGACACGCACACTCAGGACCCCTTCCCCGAGAAACGCCGGGGCTGAGGTCCGGGTATCCGGGTCTTCAAAGCCCCGTGCTGAAGGGGCAGCGCTACTGCATTCGGTTATTACTGATGCGTTTACAGATGTGACTCAGCTGGGGCAAAGGGCCCCACGCCAGCCCCAGGGTCTGCAGAATGCGTGTGCTGAGTGACACGTTTGGGACAATGAGAGCTCTCATTGTTTGCCGGGAGCCACCAGAGCTGAGTGTGAAGTTAACAGTTTTTTCCTGCCTGGTTCCCTGAAATCTCCGACAACCCCACCTTCCTCTCACTGCGTGTTTCGGCTTTAATAGAAACTTGGTGTCAGAGGAAGGAACTATCAAGGAGATCGCTTTTAAATATATCTGTTTGAAACTTTTCTAGCTTTATTGAGTTGAAATTTACATAGCAAAAAAATGTATTCATTTTAAATGTCTTTGGTTATTTTTATTTTATTTAAAAGACAGCCACGACCGGCGCCACGGCTCACTAGGCTAATCCTCTGCCTTGCGGCGCCCCCACACTGGGTTCTAGTCCCGGTCCGGGCCCTGGATTCTGTCCCGGTTGCTCCTCTTCCAGGCCAGCTCTCTGCTGTGGCCAGGGAGTGCAGTGGAGGATGGCCCAAGTGCTGGGCCCTGCACCCCATGGGAGACCAGGAGAAGCACCTGGCTCCTGGCTTTGGATCAGCGCGGTACACCGGCCGCAGTGCGCTGGCCGTGGCGGCCATTGGAGGGTGAACCAACGGCAAAGGAAGACCTTTCTCTCTGTCTCTCTCTCTCTCACTGTCCACTGTCCAAAAAAAAAAAAGACAGCCACAGAGACAGCGCTTCCATCTGCTTGTTCACTCCCCAAGCCCAGAACTCAATGCAGGTCCCCATGGAGGGACCCCAGTACTTGAGCCACCACCTGCCACCTCCCAGTGTACACAGTAGCAGGAAGCTGGAAGTTCAAGTGGAGCTAGGACTTGAACCCAGGCACTCCAGAATGGAAGGCTGGCCTCTTAACCACCGTACCAGACGGCTGCTGCAGCATTCTGCTTTGACAACTAAACACGCGTAGTTACATTATGCTGTCGTGCGGTGGGCATTGTGCTGCACTCACATCCTACATCCGGGGCCCCCTGCCATCTACGTGGGAGGAGTTTCAGACTTCTGGTTTTGACCTGTCTCGGCCTTAGTTGTTGTGGGCATTTGGAAAGTGAACCAATAGATGGAAGTTCTCTCTCTCTCTGCCTTTCAAGAAGATTAAAATAAATATTTTTTTTAAATTGGAGCAGTGTTGTGCATAGCTTAAGCCACTGCTTGGGACCACCCTCATCTCATACCAGCGTGCCTGGGATCAAGTCCCAGCTCTCATTCATATCCAGCTTCCTGCAGATGCATCCTGGGAAGCAGCAGGTGATGGCTCAATGCTTGGGTCCCTGCCAAGCATGTGGGAGACCTGGATTGAATTCCTGGCTCCTGACTTTGGCCTGGTCCAGCCCTGAGTACTGTAGACATTTGGGGAGTGAGCCAACATATGGAAGATACCCCTCTCTGCTTTTCCAAATAAATAAAAATAAATAAGCTTTTAAAAAATATTTGCAGGGGCCGGTGCTGTGGCACAGGAGGTTAACACCCTGGCCTGAAACGCCGGCATCCTATATGGGTGTTGGTTTGAGACCCGGATGTTCCACTTCCAATCCAGCTCTCTGCTGTGGCCTGGGAAAGCAGTAGAAGATGGCCCAAGTCCTTGGGCCCCTGCACCCGTGTGGGAGACCAGAAAGAAGCTCCTGGCTCCTGGCTTCAGATCAGTGCAGCTCCAGCTGTTGTGGCCAATTGGGGAGTGAACCAGCGGATGGAAGACCTCTCTCTCCCTCTCCCTCTCCCTCTCCCTCTCCCTCTCCCTCTCCTCTCTCTGTGTAACTCTGGCTTTCAAATAAATGGATAAATCTTTAAAAAACATAAGTAAAATAAATAAGAAATAACTGCATTTGAGGGAATTGTCAGGACTCATGATTATAAGACGATGCTTGGCACGCACATAGAGGATGTTAGTGGGACAGCTGAGGAGCTCAGAATTAGACTGTAGGTTAGACAATTCTATGGGTATCACTTCTTGGCCTTTTAGCTAAGATCAAGTGTAGGCGATTCTATGCATCAAAGTTACTCTCCTGATTTTGATAATGGCACAAGGTCTAAAGATTAAATAATAGTTTGGTTTTGATTGATTTTGGTCATAACTGTGCCTATGTAAGAGAATGTTATTGATGTTTAGGAAACAAAGAATTCATCCTTGCAGCTGACAAACAGTTCAGAAAAAAGTATGGCGAGAAAAAGAAGAAATGGTATTCCAGATTCAGGCTTGAGAAGAACCTGAGACAGAGGAAAGCAACTGTAGAAAAATGTCAACATTTGAGAAATCAGGAGTTCTTTTACTTTTTTTTAATTTCTAAGTCTGAAATAATTGCAAAATGAAGTTTAAAAAAATCATTAGATTTGACTTTTCATGCCTCCTAGCGCAGCGTGTGGCCTCAGGATTGCACAGGCACTGGGCGTTTCTAACTGGATAGAGGCAGGGAGGGTGGAGAGCAGCGAGCCCAGCCTGCTGCCAGTCTGTGCATGGCCGGCCTGCTGAGGGTGGTTTTTACATTTTTAAATGGAGGGCGGAGAAGGGGGAAAGCAGAAGAATCATATTTCATTCAGATCTGTTTTTTTGTTTGTTTGTTTGTTTTTTGACAGGCAGAGTGGACAGTGAGAGAGAGACAGAGAGAAAGGTCTTCCTTTGCCGTTGGTTCACCCTCCAATGGCCGCTGCGGCCAGCGCACCACGCTGATCCGAAGCCAGGAGCCAGGTACTTATCCTGGTCTCCCATGGGGTGCAGGGCCCAAGCACTTGGGCCATCCTCCACTGCACTCCCTGGCCACAGCAGAGAGCTGGCCTGGAAGAGGGGCAACCGGGACAGAATCCGGTGCCCCGACCGGGACTAGAACCCGGTGTGCCGGCGCCGCTAGGTGGAGGATTAGCCTAGTGAGCCACGGTGCCGGCAGAATCATATTTCGTGACACTCGGAAACCACGTGCGATGTAAAGGTCGGTATCTGTAAAGTTTGCACTCCCATTCTGGTTGTTTGGTGCTTCCATGCTACAATCGCAAAGTCAAGCGGTTGCAACAGAGACCTTGGCACTCATAAAACCTAAAATATTTATTCTTGGGCCTTTTACAGTAAAAGTTTGCTCAGAGGGTATTTGAGGATGCATCAAAAAGTCCACATAGGAGTGGGCGTTCAGCCGAGGGGTGAGGATGTCCAAGTGCCTGAGCGGATTCCCAGCTGTGGCTCCTGACCCCAGCTTCCTGCTAATGCAGACGCTGGGAGGCAGTGGGCGGATCATGGCTCAAGTACTTGGGTCCCTGTCACCCATCGGAGAGACCTGGATTGAGTTCTTGGCTCCTGACTTTGTCCTGGCTGAGCCCTGACTGTTGCAGGCACCTGGAAAGGGAACCAGGAATGACAGAACTCTGTGGGCCCATCTGTCTCTCAAGTTAAAAAAAAGAAAAAGGTAAACATTTCCTGGAAAATAAAATATAAGCTAATTTTGGTGCAAAGTATTCTGACATTTCTGGATAGTTTTTTCATAATGCTCATTTCCTATGAACTTTTTGAAGACTCTCCCCCCCCCCCCACCCCCCCCAAAAATGGGGTTTGCTGCTGAGCGTCTAGTACTTGACTTTGTATTTGAGCTGATCTTAACCAAATTATTGGATTTTCTCTTTTGGGTCTCTTTTAGCCCCCGTTTGCTAATTGTAAAACAAAAAAAAAATTTTTTGTTTCTTGGTTCATTAATATGGGTATTTTCAATTTTTGTGGGCCAATGGGGAGATGTAATCATTTGTTGGAAGACCTTTTTTTCTTTC